TTTTTTTTTTTTTTTTTTTTTTTTTTTTTTTTTTTTTTTTTTTTTTTGGTTAATTACGTGCAGGGTATCTGGAGCTAGGAAACCAATCTTCCCTTTAGAAAAGAGACTCTAAAAAGTCATTGGACTGACCATGGTTTAGCTCCACGTGGGCCAGATGACTGATGTCCATGTGTGGAATTACTTAGGATAGAATAACCCAAAAAGTACAGCTGCCGGACTATTGTGATCTGTTTTCATTGTCTGGCTGGAGCCATACCTCTGAGGGTGGAGGGATGAACTTTCCTCTACAGAAAGGGAAGTGAACTGAAGTGGTTACAGTGTGACAGGTAGTAATGATATTAATAGGAAACATACATGTCCAAAAGTGTTCTAAGGATTCTACTTGAATCACCCCTTTAAATCCTCAAAATACCCTGTGGAGAAGATACTATTATCAGTGTAATTTTACAGAAGGAACCCATACATAGAGAGGTTAAGTACCTTGTCCACAGTTAAAGAGGCAGAAAGTAATAGAGATGGAATTGGAACCTCAGTTTGGGTGCAGAGCTGGGTTCTGACATTATGATCTGTTGCCTCTGTGAAGTGTGTGTAATGTCCTTGAGTGAAGCTGGCAGGACATAAGCAAATGGGAGAAGGGGGAAGTAGGCAAACTGGAGATGAATGTCCTGCCTGAAGAGACAGCTACCAGTCAGCAACTGCTGTTGTAGAGGAATGTGGGCTCAGTGTTTCCAGATGATGTGAGTTTTCAAGAGAAAACGGAAATCTGGATTTTTAAGTAAAATTCCTAATTTAAGTTTTTAAATTTTTCTATTTTTTTAAAGTTTAATTTTTTTTGCAAGAAAGCGGGGAGGGGCAGAGAGAGAGGAAGAGAGAAAATCCCAAGCAGCCTATGCGCTGTCAGCACAGAGCTCGACGCGGAGCTGGATCTCACAAACCGTGAGTTCATGACCTGGGCCAAAATCAAGAGTCAGATGCTTAACTGACTGAGCCACCCAGGCACTCCAAGTAAAATTCCTAATTTTATTTTTATTATTTTTATTTTTTTCAACGTTTATTTATTTTTGAGACAGAGAGAGACAGAGCATGAATGGGGGAGGGGCAGAGAGACAGGGAGACAGAATCGGAAGCAGGCTCCAGGCTCTGAGCCATCAGCCCAGAGCCTGACGCGGGGCTCGAACTCACGGACCACGAGATCGTGACCTGAGCTGAAGTTGGACGCTTAACCGATTGAGCCACCCAGGCGCCCCTATTTTTATTTTATTTTTTTAATGTTTTTATTTATTTTTGAGAGAGAGAGAGACAGCATGAGCAGGGGAGGGGTAGAGAGAGGGAGACACAGGATCCAAAGCAGGCCCCAGGCTCCGCGCTGTCAGCGCAGAGCCCGATGCAGGGCTCAAACTCACAAACCACGAGATTGTGACCTGAGCCGAAGTCAGACGCTCAACCAACTGAGCCACCCAGGCGCCCCTAAGTAAAATTCCTAATTTTAAAGTACAC